TAGGGAAGATAAGAGTAGAGAAGAGTAGGGAAACGTAAAGTATCGTAGAGTGAAAGGGAAAAAAAGGGTAGTATCGTAGAGTGAAAGGGGAAAAAACATAGGGAAGATAAGAGTAGAGAAGAGTAGGGAAACGTAAAGTATCGTAGAGTGAAAGAAGATAAGAGTATCCTAGAGTAGAGTATAGTAGGGGAAAAAAGGGTAGTAAATAGTAAAGTCGAGAAGTGTAGGGAAGCGTTAAGTATCGTAGAGTGTAGTATAGTAGAGTAGAGTATCCTAAAGGAGAGTAGAGTAGGTTAGAGTCGACTAGAGTAGAATCGAGTAGAGTAAAGTAAAATAGGAAATAGTATAGTAGAGTAGAGTAGAGTGGGTAGATCAGAATATCGTAGCATAAAGTACGATAGAGTAGAGATGAGTAGAGTACAAAATAGTATCGGAAGGAAGAGTAGAGCAAACCAAAGTAGAGTAGCGTAGCGTAGAGTAGAGTAGAGTGGAGTCGAGTAGAGTCGAGTGTAGAAGAAGAGTATAGAAGAGAAAATTATAGTGGAGGGGAGTGGAGTAGAATAGAGAAGAGAAGAGAAGAGTGGAGTGGAGTGGAGTGGAGTGAAGTGGAGTACAATAGAGTAGAGAGTAGATACGAGTATCACAACATATAGTAGAGTACAGGTTAGTACATAAGAGTAGAGTAAAGTAGAGTAAAGTGGAGTAAAGATTAATAGAGTAGAGTACAATACTATACCGTAGAGTAAAGTAGAGTAAAACAAAGTAGAGCAGAGTAGAGTAGCGTAGCTTAAAGTAGTAGCATAGAGTACAATAGAGTCGAGTTGAGTCGAGTAGAGTTGCGTGAAGTAGAGCATAGAAGAGTAGCGTACCTCAAATGAACCTATACGATATAACAAACCAAAACGACACTCCAAACGGGTTCAAACTGACTCTAACAAAACATAGTAGTTTATAGTAGAATGGAGTGAAGTAAAGCAAAGTAGAGTAGAGTTGAGTATAGTAGTGTAGATGTATAGCAGAGTCGAGTAGAGTAGAGTCGAGTCAGTTGAGTCGAGAAGAGTCGAGTAGAGTAGAGTCGAGTCGAGTGAAATACAGTAGTGTAGTGGTATGGAGTAGAATCTAGTGGAATGTAGTTGAGTCGAATGGAGTGGAGTGGAGTAGAATGGGGTGAAGAACAGTAATGTGGAATGAAGGAGAGTGGAGTGGAGTAGAGTGGAACGGAGTGGAGTGGAGTAGTGTGTAGTAGAGAGGAGTGAAGGAAAGTATAGTATAGTAGAGTGAAGTGGAGTAGGGAAGCGTAGATGAGAGTAGAGTGCAACAGAGCAGAGTAGAGCAGAGCAGGGAAGCGTAGAGTAGAGAAAATAAGCTTAGGGAAGAGAATAATAGAAAACAGCATAGTCGAGAAGAGTAGGGAAGCGTAGAGTATTGTAGAGTAAAGTAGAGTAGAGTAGAGTATCATAGAGCTGTCTCTTATACACATCTAGCGTAGATGAGAGTAGAGTGCAACAGAGCAGAGTAGAGCAGAGCAGGGAAGCGTAGAGTAGAGAAAATAAGCTTAGGGAAGAGAATAATAGAAAACAGCATAGTCGAGAAGAGTAGGGAAGCGTAGAGTATTGTAGAGTAAAGTAGAGTAAAGTATAGTAGAGTCGAATTGAGTAGTAGAGTAGAGGGGAGGGGAGTGAAGTAGAGTGGAGTAGAGAAGAGTGAAGTGAAGTGGAGTAGAGTAGAGCACAGTGAGTAGATATGAGTATTGCAGCATATAGTATAGTACAATAAAGTACATAAGAGTAGAGCAAAGTACAATAGAGTACAGTGCTATAAAGTAGAGTAGAGTAGAGTAGTGTAGCATAGAGTATAGTAAAGTTGAATCGCGTCGAGTCGAGTAGAGTTGAGTGGAGTAGAATAGAGAAGAGTGGTGTACCTTAAATGGACCTATACGTGAAAACAAACTGAAACAACACTCAAAATGGGCTCAAGCTGACTCTAACAGAGCAGAGTAGTTTAAAGTAGAATGGAGTTGAGGAAAGCAAACTAGAGTTGAGTATGGTAGTGGAGTGGTGTGGACTAGAGTCCAGTGGAATGTAGTTGAGTCGAATGTAGTGGAGTGGAGTAACATGGAGTGGAGGAGAGTGGAGTAGAGTGGAGTGCAGTAGTGTGTAGAAGAGTGGAGTGGAGGAGAGTGAAGTAGAGTATCGTGGAGTGAAGTAGAGTATCGTGGAGTGGAGTAGGGAAGCATAAAGTAGAGTAGAGTGGAGCAGAGCATAGTAAAGCAGGGCAGGGAAGCGTACAATAAAGAAGAGTAGGGAAAAAAACTTAGGAAAGAGAAAAGTAAAAAAGACAAATGTAGAAAAAAGTAGAGTTGAGAAGAGCAGGGAAGCGTAGAGTATTGTAAAGTAGAGTAGAGTAGAGTATAGTAGAGTAGCGTAGAGTAAAGTAGAGTATCCTAAAGTAGAGTAGAGAATAAAAACTTAGTGAGGAGAAGAGTAGGGAAGCGTAAAGTATCGTAGAGTAAAGTAGAGTATAGTATTTTAAAGTAGAGTATAGCAGGTTAGAATTAAGTAGAGTAGAATCGAGTAGAGTATAATAGGTTAGAATTAAGTAGAGTAGAATCGAGTAGAGTAGAGTAAAGTAGGAAAAAGTAGAGAAGAGTAAAGTAGAGTAGAGTGAGTAGATCAGCGAATCGTAGCATAAAGTACAATAAAGTAGAGACGAGTAGAGTACAATGGAGTAGAGTAGGGAATAGTAAAACAAAGAAGAGTAGAGTAGCGTAGCATAGAGTAGAGTAGAGTAGAGTCAAGTACAGTCGAGTGTAGTAGAGTAGAGAAAAGAAAATAGGGTGGAGGGAGTGAAGTAGAGTAGAGAAGAGTGGAGTGGAGTGTAGTAAAGTAGAGTGAGTAAATAAGAGTATCGCAACATATAGTACAATATAGTAGAGTACAGAAAAGTAGAGTACAATAAAGTGGAGTAGAGATGAGTAGGGTAGAATAGTATACTATAGAGTAGAGTAGAGCACTATAGAGCAGAATTAAGTATAGTAAAGCGAAGTAGAGTAGATTAGCATAGCTTAGAGTAGTGTAGCATAGAGTACAGTCGAGTCGAGTCGAGTAGAGTAGAGTTGAGAGGAGTAGAGTAGAGAAGAGTGGAGTGGAGTGTAGTAAAGTAGAGTGAGTAAATAAGAGTATCGCAACATATAGTACAATATAGTAGAGTACAGAAAAGTAGAGTACAATAAAGTGGAGTAGAGATGAGTAGGGTAGAATAGTATACTATAGAGTAGAGTAGAGCACTATAGAGCAGAATTAAGTATAGTAAAGCGAAGTAGAGTAGATTAGCATAGCTTAGAGTAGTGTAGCATAGAGTACAGTCGAGTCGAGTCGAGTAGAGTAGAGTTGAGAGGAGTAGAGTAGAGAAGAGTGGCGTACCTTAAATGGACCTATACGCTAAAACAAACTAAAACGACGCTCAAAGCGGGTTCAATTTGGCTCTAACAGAGCATAGTAGTTTAGAGTAGAATGGAGTACATTAAAGCAATGTAGAGTAGAGTTGAGTATAGTAGTGTAGAGTAGAAAATAGTCGAGTAAAGTCGAGTGAAATAGAGCAGAGTAGTGGAGTGGTGTGAAGTCTAGTGGAATGCAGTTGAGTCGAATGGGGTGGAGTGGAGTAACGTGGAGTGGAGGAGA